CTGCCCCTCTCCTTCCCCGTCCCTGCCCCCGCCCCTCTTCTCCCCGCCGTGCATCCACCTCACGGAGCGGCCCCGCCCCTCTTCTCCCTGCTTCCGCTTCACGGAGCGCCGCCGGAGGGGGGAGGGGGGCGGCCGGCAGGAGTTGGCGATGAGCTGGAGGTCGAGATGAGATCGGGAGGCAGTTTTTTCTTTCTTTTATCTCGACCATACCGGTTGACTTATTAGATGTACTGCGGGTTTAATTATCAAAAGCACAGGGACCTTTTGGCAAAAAGCCTACGACGGTGAACCCGGAGACTCAATCCGTGTTTTATTATTAGGGAGAGATAATGTGGATTTCTACAACTATTTATTCCGTATTTTTTGGAGGGTAAAGCCATGAGATCCTCGTAACGATATGCGGACTACTACTCGCGTAAGAGAAACCTACTAGGCCAATGTGTTTGAATATCCTCCAAAGGCAGATGCGCCACCAGACGATAGGCCAAGGATTCCATTTGGTAGGAGTTACTCGTACACAATTTGTTTCATTTTAGTTGACAAAAGTTGATAAGAAATTTTCTATAAGCTATTTTGCAATACGTTCGTGGCGGCGCTTCGGTGCTACCCTAGACGATGTCGAAGAGCTGACAACCTCGTGTTCTCCTTGGCTCTTTAGATCGACAAGTTTAGGGTTTGGTCGACGGTATCATCATTTTGGGAAGGTGAAGGCAATGTGTTGGCTGTTTGGTTCTCTGGCAGCACCTCTGACATGGTTAGTCGTCGATGCTTTAGGCGGGGTTCCACGGGGGCAGCTCATGAGCTTCTGTCTCATGGATGTGCACATCAGGATCCATGCAGTTTTACGGTGGCCTTCATCGGCAAATCTAGTGTCTGGACCGTCGATCCTTCTAGATCAACGTTGTCGACCTTTCTTCGTAGAGTTCCGGGAACGGTGCAGAACTCCAGTTGCGACAACAATTGGCGTGCCATCGGCATGTCGAACCCGAAGAGGATGGATAAATCCTCAAGGACCACAGTGCAATTTTCCTTTTTGAGGGCTTTCTTTGCAGTGCTGTTTTTTCATTACGGAGAAAAAAATATATTCTAAATTGAATTGTGTTCTACGGAAGGAGCAACAAGAGCAACAGCAAGTGGGCCGGCGTCAGGCGTCGTCCACTACTACACACAAGTGAGCGGTTGAATGCTGTCATTAGTGTGCACCGTGAAGTATTATTCATGTTCGAGGAGCACGTTTGTTGAACAAATCTCACAGACAGGCCAATCACAAATCCCCCACACTCGGCGCTCGTATTCCGTGCCGTCTGCGCGCCCGTACTTCCCTTTTGTTTGCGCATGCCTCCACACACGCAACTTCACGGTCTAGCATTCGCACGACCGCGATCCCCATTGATTTGATTAGCTCTCTCACGTGAAAAGATGGGGAGGGTAATAAGTGGAGGCATGTTAAAATCAGTTTTTTTTTTGAAAAGAAGATATTCCTACGCCCGTTCCAACAGAATTCCATAGCGCAAGTCATCGGGCCCGCTAAAAAGTTTTCAAAGACAAATGTGAAAATTCAGAGGAAAATGAAGGAGTTTACTCCTACGCGCCCGAGCGCTACAACGCTCGATCCTAATCTTTTCAGCCCCCCTGATTTCAACAGGTGAGGGGCCGGTGCGCCAAACCTTCTCCCCTCAATTACGTAAACAGAAAAGTTTTGACGCTGTCTGAAACCGGCCGCTCCAACGCGCGCGCGTCAGATAGCCAAGCCCAAAAATGAAAGGGAAGAAAGAGATCAAACATGATTTTTGAGGCCCGCTGGAAAAAGAAGTGATCGGGCACAAGGGGTTGAAAACCCCAATCAATCAACCAAATCCAATGGGCTGCCGCTGCATCTTCGAGATAAAGAATGAGGGCGAGGCAACGAACGATGATGATTAAAAACCTTCTTGTTTTGTTGGCTAGGAACCGGTTGTGGTGGTGGTGGTGGTAGCGGTAGTAGGATCCAACCCAAAATTCTACTAGTACCGAGTATCCCTTGCGCCCCTCAATTCCTCGATTTAATGATTGGTTCATGGACGCCGTCGGCTCCATCATCAGGGACCATCGCCTTCTCACACCTCTCGGTTGGAAGCTTGGAAATATCCCCGGGTTCGGAAAAACGGGGCGCAAACAACCGTGTAAAATGATTTGTTATGTCCAAATGCTGCCATGTTTGTTTGCACTACTAAGCATTTCTTTATGTTTGCATGCGTCAATCAGGCCAACTCCACCGCACGGCCTCAAACGGACGTGCCTCTGTCCGTTGCGTCGTGAATGCATCCAACACACGGGCGCACCCCAATTGATGTCCGGGGTGGACGTGATTAAAAAAACATAAAACTAAAATAAAATGTCGAAAAAGTAAATAAAAAAATATAAAAACATAAAACATAAATTAACCATCACGGTCACAAAACAGCTCAGTTCCATGGTTCACATTCTCAAAATTAACATTAAAAAAACGCCGCCTGCGCGCTCCTGCCGTGTCCGTCGATACCGTGGCCGTCGCCGTCTTCAGTGCCCGCCGATGTCATCGTCGTCACTGACGAGATAAACGTAGTCCGGCGGCGTCCAGAGGTGGGACGGCGGTCCATGGTACACGGGGGCGGGTTGGAAGGCGGCAGGTACCTGCACCACCTCCTCTGGTGGCGACGCGTCCCGTACCTGCACCAGTTCACGCCCCCCACGGCGTCGGCCATTTCCGGAGCCATGCACGATCAGCTCCGGTGTTGGCCCACCAGGCCCAGGTGAAACGCGGCCACCGGCTCCTCCTCCATCACCTCCTCCGCCCTCACCATCTCCAGCTCGGGGAAGGCGACGTCGCCGATCGCAGAGAGGGCCATTGGCGCTCATCGTGCGTGTTCATGGAGTCCTCCATGACATATTGCATGAGCCGGGCCTCCTCCTCCGCTGTCATACGAGGAGGTGGAGGTGGCGATGTAGATGGTGAAGGCGATGGCGTGGGCATGAGGCCGTGCACCCGTGTACGCCCACGCACCTCTCGACGTGGCCGCCGCGGCCCCGACGACGTGCCGGCGAAGAAAGAGGCGCGCTGCACGTTGTGCTCGTCCCTTAGCCATGTGTCCTAGAGCACGAAGTCGGGGGCGTACCTATCGTCGTGGAAGAGGTCGTCGGGAAGGAGGAGGCGGCGGCGCTCGATCTCCTCGCGCGCGCACGGCTGCTCGTCGAGACCGACGGGATCGAGACCCGGTCGGCGGAGAGGTGCCAGTTATTGGGGAGGTGGACATTGCTCCACAGGACCGGCGTCCTCGTCTCCCAATACTGCCGGCATACATCCGCGTTGATATACTGCCGGTTGCGCTCGCCGCCGGCCCTAGGGCCGATGGTGAATGGGGCAGGCACGGGGCCCCGACGCGGTGGCGATGCGGCCTCCTCTTTCACGGAGCCGCAACGACGTCCCGAGGAGGAGCCGGTCTCACGGTCATACTTCCCCTTGCAGGCGTGGTTCCATAATCCCATGGCTGCGAGGCGGCCGGCCGGCGAGTTGAGCACAGGGAGAGGCTAGGGTTTGGAGTGGGGCTTGTCGGGTTTCGAGGAGGCAGCGTGCTGGAATGGGGAGTGTGGATGACGACCGGTTCACGGCCTCCCCATTTAAGAAGGACGGCGACCGTTTGCATGGGCGGATGACAGGTGGGGCCGGCCGCACGTACGCATTGATGTTGGCGGGTGGGAGGTAGATAGCCGCCTGCTACGCGGCCCCGATGCAGACGAGCATCGTGTTCGTTTACTGTGCGCCGCGACCCAAACCCAGCGCATGTTTACGCTCGAAATGGGTCAGCTTGGACACAGAACAAACCAAATGGGCTCAGGCCGTCGCGCGTTGGGCCGTCTGATTTATCCTTTTTACCTCAAACGAATCGGGACGGGTGGTGCGGTGGAGTTGGCCTCACCAAATGCAACGCACCCTTTTATTACCCCCGCGGTGAGCTGACCTCTCTCCGTCCGGTGCTTGTGTCTCCAGCCGGCTTCTTCCTCCCCTCCTTGTTTCATGGCGGGGAAGGGTGGGGCGATGATGCCCATAGCCCGTCCAATTTGACCCATGCCGTCCTGGACCTATATCATACGCACACGCGCGCTCTCTACCGCTCCCACCACGCTCTCCCGCAACCTCGTCTCGTCCCGTCTTCTGCTTTTTGCTCGCCTGCGGTGGGAGGGAGCTTTTCGCTTTGGTTTAGGTGCTTCTTTCCCACTCACCACTTTCCTCCGCCCTGCGTGCGGTGTCACGCACACCAAAAGCTCCTGCCTTTGCCTTATCTCAGCACCGGCACCACCCTGCCCCCGCCCCTAGTGGGATTTGGTGGGAGCTGCTCTGCTCGCTCCAGCTACTTGCCTCCCTCGCGCGCTTCTTTGCTCCGCTGGTGTTGGTGTTGGCCTTGGCGTTGGGGGCCAGCGTCACTCTCGCCTCGTCACCGCACTCACCTCGCCGCACCGCACCGCACGCACGCGCGCGCGCGCGGCGCTCTTCCCTTCTCCTCTCTTCCCGGTGGGCTCGGAATTCGGACGATTTCTTGGTTGCGTCTGCTTGGGGCGCGGCGAGCGGCGGATCTTTTGCGGAATTCCGGCGGGGAAAGGGCGGGGGATGAACTGCGGGCAGCCGGACCAGCTGCCGCCGGCCACGGCGGGCTTCCTCAACCTCAACTGGGACAGCTCCATGGACGCCTCCCATCCGATGGCCTCCTCGCCGGCCTCCAACTCCGCGGCGGCCACCGAGGGGCTCGCGCTCCACGGGATCTCGCCGCGGCCGCAGCCGCACTACGGCGCCGGCGGCACGCCGCTCGGCTCGCCCACCAAGCTCAACCTCTCCATGATGGGCCAGTACCGCCACCACCACCACCACAGCCCCTACCCGCCGCCGCCGCCGCAGGTGGGCGGCGCCGGCCTGCCCACCCTGGAGAACCTCATGCCCATGGGCTCCCTCGACCAGTTCCTCGCCGACCCGGGCTTCGCCGAGCGCGCCGCCAGGCTCTCCGGGTTCGGCCCCGCGCAGTTTGGCCTCCCGGACGACGGCCCCGTCGGCGCGCTCAAGGAGCTGGAGCTCGGGAGCGCCCGGGACGACTCGTCGGTGTCCGATCCGGCGTCGGCCGGCGCCGGGATGGCGCTCAAGGGCGCCTCCGACAGCAATGCCAGGAAGCGGAAGGCCGGCGGCGGCGGCAGCAAGGGGAAGGGCAAGGACGCTTCCGTGTCCACCACCTCCGCCAAGGATCTCCTCGCCAAGGTACGCAAGACACATACAGAATTCTGCTCTGTTGTCGAAGGAGCGAGAGGTCGATCTCACCCTGCGAGCACCGCCGTCGCCGTGGCCGTGCAGGAGGACTCGGCGTCGAAGCGCTGCAGGTCCATGTCCATGGAGGAGGCGGAGGAGAATTCCGGCAAGGGGAAGGCCGCGCAGAGCAGCAGCGAGAACGGCGGGAGGAGGCAGGGCAAGGACGGCGCGTCCAAGCTCCCCGAGCCGCCCAAGGACTTCATCCACGTCCGGGCGCGGCGCGGCGAGGCCACGGACAGCCATAGCCTGGCCGAGAGGGTACGTACAATTCTCGGCCTCTCCCTCCCTTGCATTGTGTCAGATCATTTTCACGGCGGAGTAGAATTTCTCATGCCCTGCTTCGTCTTTGTGCTGTGCTCAGGTGAGAAGAGAGAAGATCAGCCAGCGGATGAAGCTGCTGCAGGACCTGGTGCCCGGCTGCAACAAGGTACCTGCTCATCATTTCGCAATCGTTGCGATGTGCCTCGGTGTGCCCCCGGATTTGAGACCTGGAGAAATGTTGCCCGTTTCAGGTGGTGGGCAAGGCCGTGATGCTGGACGAGATCATCAACTACGTGCAGTCGCTGCAACGGCAAGTCGAGGTACACGCACGCCCCCATTGCCAACCAAAAACAGATCATGAATTGCCATCTGAAACACTTGTTGCCATTCGTGTCAACTTCTGCCTGCAGTTTCTGTCGATGAAGCTGGCGACGGTGAACCCGCAGCTGGACTTCAACAGCCTGCCCAGCCTCCTTGCCAAAGATGTGAGGACCAAGCATCTACTCCATATGCATGCATACATGCGCGCTCCCGTTGCCACATCCGGCTCAGCTCACTCACTCGTGTGCCGATTTTGGGTTGTGATGATGGCAGATGCAGCAGCAGTCGTGTGGGCAGCTGCAGCAGGGCTCGTCGCATTTTTTCCCGCTGGACGCGTCGGGCGCGCCGCTCCCCTACATGGGGGGCCAGGGGAGCAGCGACCCTCTCGGCTGCGGCATGTCCGACGGCGGCGGCATGGGCGACGACCACGGCGCCATGCACCCGCTCGACCAGGCCTTCTGCCGCCCCATGGGCTCCCAGCAGCAGCACTTCCTCAGCGACGCCGCCGCCTCTCAGGTAACACTTTTTTCTTGAATAATTCATGTCGCAGCTTTGTTTTTGTAGATGCTGAACAATCTGTGATTGTAAACGTGTGTGCAGGTTGGGGCCTTCTGGCAGGATCTGCAGAGCGTGGTTCAGATGGACATGGGGCAGAGCCAGGAGATCGCCACCTCCTCCAACAGCTACGACGGTGAGTGCAAATCCAGTTTCAATTTCAGCCTGAATTCTGAAGATCGACATCACTTTCAACCAAAGATCCGGATGCTGAATTTTGTTCGGTCCTGCCGATCAGGCTCGTTGCAGACGGTCCACATGAAAATGGAGCTTTGACATGATGATCGCCGGGGAGAAAGCTTGATCCGACTACCACCGACCGCCCTCGACGACCCCCGCTGTACATAGGGAGAAGCAAAGGCAGGCAGGCAGGCAGTCAAGCTTGCCATTGAACCATCCATGGAAGCGCTCTGAGATTCAACCTAACAGTGTTGGGCCCTTCTGGTGTAATGATTCTTTTGAACAAGAAAGGGACCCGGGCGTGCAACAGTAGCTTAGGCTAGCTCAGCGTATCATCATCATCATCATCATCATCATCTCCTTTCTTGTGCTAAGCTGCTAGCAAGATCGATGGGTACATAGCATGGCTTGCGCATGAATCCATCCTCGGCCACCCTTCGTGCCCATTCCCCCTCAAATGAGAGGGGATCGCATTGGAGATGTGTAATAGTATCATTTGTACTGCCATTATATATATAATATATATATATTTCTAGCCTATAAATACCATTATTAAGAAGATCCTGCATACCAACCATCATTGGAGTATGCTGATGTTTGTAAAAATGAGGACCTCCCCCTAGTGGTGATTTGGCAATAAAATTCAGGTGGAGGGATCGCTATCCCTCCCGCGGTGACAGTTCAAAAAAAAAATCGGAGCCCCTTGGAGAAGGCCAGGAGCCGGGATTGTGGCGGCTTCTTTGGAGCCAGGGCAGGCAAAGAGAGGGTGTGAGAGAGGACATGGACAGAAGGAACAAGCAAGTTGCTGAATGGGGCTGGGATTTGGGATTTGTGGGCGCCTTTCTAGCTGTTGGAATTGGACGGATGAGCAGCCGGACCCGGCGACGGGGACTGCACCGGCTCTGCCCGGCTGGGACACACACACGCACACGCAGACGGTGGCTGTGCCGTGCCGTGCTGGGTGCTGATGAGGACGGCCTGTAGCTGCCCCATGATTACGAGTAAGTAAAGACGGCGGACTGGACTGATTCTACGCGCGTACTTGCAGTACATCAGACACGCCATTCACTGCGGATTGCCCTGCTCCTGTTCATCTGCGGCTCGCGCCAGTCAGTTAAAATGAGCAGTCTGGCTAAGTCTCGGTCGATACTATATCCGTGAGATCTTATATTGAGATCTGTGCAAAAC